TTGGTTTTTCTTTTTTTGGAAAGCACATTACCATAGGATCTTATTATCAGAGCTGGACTAGACACTACACTCTTACAGCATTAGTTTCTGTAATCCAAGGACAAAAGGGGGAAAAAAAAAAAAAAAAAAAAAAAAAAATCAATCTAGTTGCAGTTTCCCTTGAAACAGTGCTTGTACACCACGTTTTTAAAACGTGCCCAGAATTTCTTAAAAGATTTAACCCCCACACACCCAAATGCAGCACATATTTTTATACTGCCACATCAGGCAGCAAGGTTGCCTTTTTTTTACCCTCTCTGCAGTTAAGAGGTTTTATCTGCATATACAGAGGAAGACTGTGGCCAGGATGTGCAAATATTTAGTTTTGAGGTCTTTTAAAGAAGTTAAAAGTTTTAAAGAACTTATTCATAATTCAGATGCTTGTTTTTAATATGCAGGCTTTGACCAACTAGATAACAGACAAAGCAGCCTACCACACTAACTGGCGTTCCTAATTTTTTCTAGGATGGAGCCATGCTCCATTACCCAGTCCAAACTTGTACAGACTGCCTTTGACAATGAGAAGTCCAAGATGGGCATATGCAAATGTTTTCCACATGGCAAGTGGCCTAACAACCAATCTATATGTGGATCCCAGTATTTAAACCAAATGAACGGTCAGATGATATAGAGCCGTCTGCGTGTCCCATCTTAACAGTGCAGTCATTAAGCCCCTACAGACTCAATTTTGGATAGCTTGATGCAGTTTTTCTGGTAAGCGATACAATCTTGCAAGTTATCAAATCAGAGAGTAGGAGAGAAGCTCTTTTCTAACTCTACTGTGTCCTGTTTAACTAAAATTTGTCCCAAGCTGCCCACCCCGAAATGGATAAATGAAAATGAGATGAGAGGGACACTGAAGCCAGATGACACCAAGAAAAAGCAAAATGCCTTTAAAAGTCACCAGTGCAGGTTTGCCCAATACAGTTCTAGCAGAATATTTGTGTGAAACAGCTAAACACTCCAGGCCTTGCAATAAGCAGGAGATAGTTTTGGCATTCTGTGCAGAAGTATATGCAACATGAGATACCCATTCCATTTTTCTGCTTCTTCTGCCCAGGTTTCTTCTTGGATCCTGCTGAGTCAGATGGTGGAGTGGGCTGTTTTGTAACAGGGACTGGTTCTACTTTCTTGCCTGAAGGCTTGGATCCATCCGACTCCTTAGGCACGTGCTCATCTTGCACCGTCTTATGTTTCTTCTCCTTCTTCTTCCGCTCTCGAACGCCACTTGAAGATTCAGTCAAGGCCAAGGGAAGAGGAATGAGGTGTTCTTCATCAGTAGTCAGAGCATCTGACAGCTTAAAGTCCCGAGATGTACTCTCAGAATCAGACTCATGGAGGTTCCCATTCTGAGCTTCCCTCTTTTTGTTCTTTTTCTTATCTGTTTTCTTTTTATCAGTCTTAGCAGGTGCAAATTTTTGGTCCCGTTTCTGTTTTGCAAGGACTTCGTCGTACAATGTCTCTTTCATGAAAAGCCAGAAGAAGAGGAAGATGACAGTAATAACCACTGCAGGAATGAGGATGATAAAATAGGTAGACTCATAAAACTCCATTGTGCTTTTCTTAACTATATGCTAAAAGAGCAAACGCTATGAAGAAAAAGAAAAAAAACAACCAATTAGTTCTCAGATCAGGTTTTTCCAAATTCCCCTTTTTTAAACTAGCTTTGCCAAAGTCACCTCTAGGGTAGTCCTTACAAATTAATATGGTAAAAAGACTAACAGACATCTGTTAGTACTTTGGGGTTTGCCTTTTCTCTTGCTGTCCCCACCTCCCCCCTGCCCAAAACTGCCAGAAATTTATTCTGAATGCCAAGAAACTTCTTTTACCATATTTCAAAGGCTGTGAAACCCCCCCCACAAAAAACAATAAATGCAGAGCAGCATGGTACTGTCCTCAATACAAAGCTTTTACAATTAATGAAACCACCTGAATTGAGTTTTGGCTTTCCCTCCCGAAGTCAAATTACAGCCTCCTCTTGCACTCAGTTTTATGGCATAACCTTAAAAGCGAGCTGAAGGGAAGAGGGAGAGAAAATGAGTTGTTTAACAAACTCCGGGGAAAGGACTAGGAGCAATGGCTTCATGCTGCAGCAAAGGAAAATTTAGGCTGGAGGCTAGGAGGAACCTTTCCGATTATGAAGGTGGTCAAACATTGGAACAGGCTGCCTAGAGAAGTTGTGACATCTCCATCCTTGGAAACTTTCAAAAGTAGGTTAGACAGACACTTGGCTGGGATGTGTTAGCCAGGGATGATCCTGCCTTGGGCAGGGGGCTGGACTGATTAGGCCCCTTCTAGCCCTACTTTCCTACCATTCCTATGAAATCACATTTTACAAGGCTTCTGAGAGACCTTTCCCCTAAGATTTTCCTTAGCAATAAAACCCAGATTTTAAAACGTACTAATTCAATAAATCCACAAGTACCAGGTTTCCCCCTCATCTTAGATGTGCAAATACATGATCGTTTGATTTAGTTTTGCAAACTAAATGAAGAAGCAAAAGAATTTAAGGCTGCCCTTGCAACCATAAGCATTGGAGCAGGTACTCAAAGGAGCAATGCCTTGGTACCTCACCAGGCATCCACAACTCAAAGGGACGTCAGAAACCTGGACCTCATATTAGCTTTAAGACAACCTTGTTCTTTAAATCAACTTTCTAATAAAATATATTCTTGGTACCCAGAACAGATATGTACTTTTACATACAAACAGGTTTCCCCGAAAAGAAGACTTCAAACGCTGTTTTAGACAATTGGTTTTGAAGAAGGGGGTCAGGGGAAGGGGGAAATCCACCTATAAACATAAACATTACTATCATTCAAAAACAAGGCTCGAATTTCACCTGCATATTTTCAAGTCTATCCCCCTTATGTCAGAACTCAGATTGCTAGTAATTATGGATGAAAGGAAGGGTGTGATGCAAAGGAATCCAGCTAATGGATCACCACTATCCTTAGAAAAAAAATATTTACACTTAAAGAATCAATTCCCAGATTATTTGAAAATGAACAAGTAAAAAATTCAGCCTCTACACAATTTTTCCTCCTGCACGTGACACTACACCATGAATATCCTCCTAAATGCTGTCAATATACAAAAATGTTCTTAAAAATTACTAAGACGTTCTAGACTCTCCGCGTCTGGGATTACTGACACACATGCAAAGAGCTGAGGAAATTCAGCGCAAGCAGTAGTCACAGATAAGAGGCAGCAAGGTAACGACAACGAAAGAACATAACCCTCCTTTTCAGGCAAACACCGCACAGATCGTTTTTCTACCACAACTTAAATACAAGAATGCAGATAAAACATTTCACTGGCTCCTTCTAATAAACCTGCTTCAGGAAGCCATGAAATCATTCCCTTCCACAATTAGTGTGGGATATAACAAATGCTCATATTTAATTTCCCCTCCAAAAGCACTCCATCAGATTGCCCTCTCTGCAAGGGGAGGAAGGAGGAACGCAGGAGGGCGGGAATATGGATGTCCGACTCAAATTGTTTTGCTAGTTTTAAGAGATTATGGCAACAAAGCTGGTACAGAGTTTGACAGCTCCTTTGTAGCACTATGCAGCTTTTCAGGAGCATGAAATAAATGTATTTTTGGATGTTCATCTGCATTTGCATTTAGTACCAGCTAGCATTTTACTTGCCAATTTTCATCCAACAAGCCAATCCCCTAATTTCAGAGGAGGCCCCAGAGTTGAAGCCTGCCTCTGGGAAAAAGAGATTGAGGCAAGTGAATTTATTAAATAATTGGGTAAAGAGGAGGTACTGTAGAAGTTATTTACATAATTAGACAGCAAGTGCTTGCTGACACGCTTTAAAAGCAAAAACTGGCAGATCCAGTCTATGATTTAAACATAATTTTAAAAAAGCATGAAAGTTATGGTGTAGAAGTGCTGTTTTACCATTCAAAGTCGTCCTAATTTTTACACAACTTCCCTGTCAAACTTAGGCTGGAGGCAAGATGCAGTGAATGAATTTCAAAAAGGTTCATCTTCTGTGGGAGCGTTTAAGAGCTTGAGAGCAACTATGATATGAGGTATGGGGTGGCTGGTATCATTCCCTAAACCATCCTTGCCTTGAACCACAAGTGCTCCTGTAACACCAACTTCTTGTCTTAGCAAGCTGTCAATTTTAGTCATCTCCTGCACCACATTGGGAAGCAGCTCTTACATAGTGTCAATATTGAATGTTTACAGGAGAGTCTAATCCCTCAAGTAAATATATAATTACGCAAATTTCTCTCTGACCTGCAATTACATCAGTTCTTATAGTTTTCAATACCTAACCCCTGAGAATACTCCTTCAGGACATGCCCATCTCTGCCAGGCTGAAACGCACTTTGCTGCTTCTCACGTCACACATTCATTCCAATGTCCAAGCTTAGGGAAAATGGAGACATGCTCACCCACTCAACATATACTTCTCTATATTCAACAGCATGCACTCCAGTGGAGTGAAAGTACGCTAAGCAAAGGGATAAATGCTGCAAAAGGTCCCTCCTGGAAAGGAAAGAAAACTGTCAGATGGAGCTGCAGACAGCCACAAAACCACAGCCCAAGATCTCAGCATTGCACTGCAATATTCTGACAGTGATACTACATCATATAAAATAATACTGAACCCATTTGGTGCTGCAGCACCACGCAGTGGCATTGCAATAATTTAGGGGTTCTCTGTTCTATAAAGAAGTGGGCCACCAAGGCCAAAGAGCAATGCTCCCAGACAAAAACACAGAAGGAAGCTGCTGTTTTAAAGCAAAAAAAGTGGAACAGGAGAGTGAGCATATTTAAAATGCCCAAGGACATCCATAAATATATCATTAGGGTAGTTTTTGTACTAGGGAACACGTACAGGGATGAATCCCCAACTCGGCATTAGCACAGCTATTCTGGTCCGCCTGGAGTTTCACTGCTCTTTCCCTCCCAGCCCAGGATTTCGTCTGCCTGTGAACTTGACTAATTTCTGATTCATGGGCACTTTGAAACAAACTGTCACGAGTGATTACAGCCCTACAGCTTGGGAAATTCAGGTTTCCAGTTGCGTAAGCTCTGGAATGTAATTAAAACCAACCTTTAGTTTGGTTTAATGTTTTAACCAGACCTCAACAATGCTTTGGAAATTAGAATTAAAACAAGTCTGTTCCCAGACCTAGCCCTCAAATGTTTGCTCGTCAGCAAGGGGTACAAAAAAGGTGGGGAACCATTTACAAAGCCTTTTGAGGGTCTGATTCCAAGTTAGAAAGTCTGATTACAAGCGTGGAAGTTTGTTTCGTTGAGAGCAACAAGCTCACCTGCTGGAGGGAACATCATTGATCTCAGGTGCCACAGAAGCTAAATTTACAATCCCTTGAAGCTACCAAGCCTTTTGCATAGTATCCAAAGCATACTGATTCAACTTCCACTGCTTCAAAATCTCTGTAGACTCAGGCTTGCATTGCTGATGGTCTACTCTTGTTCCTCACAAAATCAAGTGGAGCGTGAGCAAAAGAATGCTTCCACCCCGAGTTCTGTGATCAGAGGCACGTAGAATTAATGGGAAAAGGCCAACGGGATTCAGTAATCAAAATCCAGAGGCTGCTTTTCCTCCGGAAGAATGGCTCAGAAAGAAATAAAAAGCTCAAAGATGCTATCTGAAGTGGATATGCCCACAGTGGACATGTCAGAGGAGTACCATGCATTCAGAGGAGTCTGCCTGTCAAGAGACATGGCTGATGAAAACATTGATCTGACAGCTCAGCTGTAATTTCAGTTTGCCAGGTTCTAATAAAAACTTCCAGAGAATGGGGTTGTAATTAGACTGTACACAGCATCACAAAGTGACTTCCTTCAGCATCAGAAAAAATGACAGTTATAAAGGCTTTTCATGTTTGGAGCTCCCTTTCACTCTTACAAGCCTAGCCTCCCAGGAGAAAGGGAACCCAAGCTGGAGAAAAGAAGAAATAGTAAGTAGCAGGGGAGCTGGGATACAGAAGATGCTTGTGTCAAAAGTACCACTGGATTTCTAAAAAGTTATTGTTTTAAAAACTATTTTAATGTGCTTAAAAAAAATAAATGTACTCCTATTCCATTTTATGTATGGCACCATAGATACTTTTCAAGGAAGTAACCTTTATTCCCAACTCCCCTCCAACAGGGCTGGCAAAAGGCAGTTCTATAAAGAGAAATGTGTCATTCCCACCCTTGTTTGGACACTCCTAGGTACTAGACCAGGGGCGGGCAATTATTTTGCATGGAGGGCCGCTTACTGAGTTTTGGTAAGTCATCAGGGGCCGCATGACAGGCAGCCAGGGACAGATGAATATTGATTTTCTACATTTTTTAGGGGCCCTGCAGGCCGGATAGAATGGCCTGGCAGGCCGCATCTGGCCCGCAAGCCGCATTTTGCCCACCCCTATACTAGGCTCACTGTGCTGCAACAGCCACACAACACACCCTG